AATTTGCAAATCTCCCAGGTACTTTGAAATGCAAAAGTATTTTGACTATGCAAAACTTTACATTGTAATAACAAGGAAAATATTTTGGAGTACATTATTTTCAACCTTTATCCTTCAAAGTACACCATTAGTTTAGAATAATTTAGCTGCTTCTTGTCTGAGGATCATCATTAGGGCCAGCTATACTACGTTATGAATTCAGTAATTTCCAGTAATTTTTCAGACTGGAAAGGAAGTAAAGGACCCAGAGAGGTCTACCAGATTGCTAACCTTTCTAGCTGTTGGTTCTGCTACCTTCTCAAAGGTTAGGTTATTTGGTAGTTATTTTAATCACTGTTTATTTTGTCTTAACCTTGTAGCCAATCCCCACTGCCATTTCTACCTGAGGTTCTAGTCTATGCTTCTATTAGCTTTTCTTCCCAGAAGAACCAACAAGTTTCCCAAAGAAATGAGGTAACTGCACAGTACATGAAAAACAAAAATCTGTTCTGTGATAAAACTTTCTGGAGTAAAATACATGTTTTTGTGACACCTATTTTCACACAGAGTTCTGAATTTTTTTCTATTCATTTCCAGCTTATTTCTGAATTTGTGGTTCTTAGATGAGGTTTAATTAGATTCACCAGTTATTCATGAAGTACTTATTATATGCAAGGCACTATATAATCCAAGTCGAAGTTGATAAATATATAAACACCAAGTAAGCATGACATTACCTTACATAAAAATTCTTACATATTATATTTCAGTAATCCATTATGGAGAAATCAAAGCATGTGATACTAGAAGCACATCAGAGAAATCCTAACACAGTACTGACCTGATAGGATTTTGGGGCTGCAGTGAGTTCTGACCGTACCACTGCACTCCAATCTAGGTGACAGAGTAAGACCGTTTCAAAAAAAAAAAATCTATGCCAAATATCATCTTCTCTAAAAGTTTTTCAGGTTTCATAAAAATCTGATTCACTTACTTTTCCTTCTATGAATTCCCAAAACATTTCCTATTATTATATTAATTAATTAATAATTTCTTGGTTCAGCGCCTGTAGCTCAGCAGCTAGGGTGCCAGCCACATACATCAGAGCTGGTGGGTTTGAACCCAGCCTGGGCCTGCCAAACAATGACAATTACAGTTAACAACAAAAAATAGCTGGGCACGGTGGCGGGTGCCTATGACACCACAACACTACTGAGAGCGACATAGTGAGATTGTCTCAAAAAAAAAAAAAAATTTCTCTACTGTTAATTTAGACATTTTTGCATCACACAACAGTGTCTTATAAATAAAAATAATAGTGACAATACAGACAATGATAGCAGTAATCATGATAAAAATGATGTTGAAGGCAGCAAGCATTGTTCTGAGTGCTTTATGTATATTACTTCATTTAATATCTAAAGCAACCTTCTGGGGAGGGGTACTACCTATTATTCTCAAATTACATTCAAGAAATTTACCCAGAGCTAAGAAACTGAAGAGCAGGGAATATGTTGGGAGATTGAAAAATGTTTATTAACTGGACTGGACCCCCTAAATAAGAGGACAGTGGAGATTAGAATATGTGCATTATAAGCATTTTAACACTTAGACATACTGAAATTCAGATTGAAATAAATGTTTAAGAAATGAAGATTCAGGGGATGAGCTCCCTGAGACACTAGATACCAGTCCTACCTATTATAATTGGCTTTGTTATGCTTTTATTTCTTTTCTTTTGAGACAGAGCCTCACTCAGTAGCCCTGGGGTTGAGTGCTATGCCATGACATCACAGCTCATGGCAACCCCAAACTCTTGGGCTCAAGCAATTCTCTTGCTTCAGCTTTCCAAGTAGCTGGGACTACAGGCACCCATTACAGCACCTGGCTAATTTTTTTTTTTTAGAGCTGGGGTTTCGCTCTTGCTCAGGCTGGTCTCATACTCCTGAGCTCAGGCAATCCCCCCACCTCAGCTTCCCAGAATGCTAGGATTATAGGCATGAGCTACTGCACCTGGCTTTGTTATGCTGCTTTTTTATAATCAAAAATCAGTTTAACCAGGATATCACCATGAAAAAAATGCTCATTACTTACCTGTCTTATAAAGAAGTCTCCATGAATTAGAGAAACAATTCCAAAGTTTGTGTACTTAAAAATATGATCCATCAACCACATCATCTGAGCAACAACCTAAGATATTTAAAAGCAAAAAATAATTAATTTTAATTAATTAATAACTTTTTTTTTTAAGAGACAGAGTCTCACTTTATTGCCCTTGGTAGCGTGCTATGGCGTCACAGCTCACAGCAACCTCCAGCTCTTGGGCTTAGGCGATTCTCTTGCCTCAGCCTCCCGAGCAGGTGGGACTACAGGTGCCCACCACAATGCCCAGCTATTTTTTTTGTTGAAGTTTAGCTAGGGCCGGGTTTGAACCCTCCATCCTCCGTATATGGGGCTGGCGCCCTACTCACTGAGCCACAATTAACAACGTTTTTTAATAGAAAAAATCTGACTAGTCTGCCAAGTCTCCAACCATTAAATAAATCATCCAAACATACTCTTAATTAACCTAAGTATCTTAAACCTAATGCTAATTCTACAAATGCAGCACAGATACTAATACAGTCTACATGAAAAATTATAGGTCTTAATTCTAAGTCTTCAAATCTTAAGTCACAGCTATACATATTATCACTATACATCGAGTGAAAATGAATTAACTTCTTAAATTTAGACTTAATGATTTCAATTTTGTTCTACTCTAAATAAAGTCTCTAGTAATTCTTATATAAATTATAAAATTATTTTGAAACAATATAATAAATGATTAGCATTATTAAATGAGAGCTATACATGAAAGTTTTACAAAATGTGAGTATTCCTTCATGGTTAATGTGTAAAAAGTCAATGTCCAAAATAAAATATTTGAAAATTAATATAATAGAGTGATCTATACATTCTATTATGTTATGAAGAATATTTGTTGGTTTATGCAAGGTCCTAATCTTTGCCAGAATAAAATTATTTATAGTGCCTCAGTTTATAATTGCAAAAATATTATTTATTCCTGATTAGAATTAATACTATATGAACATAAGAAGACTTCATTTCAAGCAAATTTACAAATTACAAGTAAGTATAAATAGGCTATAGGTAATGAATTGGTTAATTGTTCTTTCCTGCTAAGGAAGTAGCATTCCTTCTTATAAGCCAATAAAGTAAAAGTTACCACCTCAAACAGGAATGCAGTGAGCTCTACTTTGGTTTCTGGTGGGAATAATAAATGTAAACATTCTCTCTAAGCACTAAATTATGTGTGAATTACGTATAAGGAAAAACCTAAAACATTAACATCCATATGCTTCTTTTATAAAGGTGTTATAAAAGTGTACAGATAATATTCCAGCTTCTGCCTTAGTTTTTCAGTTATATGACTCCTATTCTGTCAGCTTTACTATATTACATCACTTAAAAAAAAAGATGCATACCAGGAACTAAGCCCCCGAGTCAATTAATACAGAGTAAAATAACCACCAGTGTCTCATTTTTAATCTTAGTGTGCTTTGCAATAACAACTACAATATTTTGTTTAAATAAGATTTGAACTAAATAAAATTTGTTGACAAATGCCCCAAGAAACAAACCAAAAGCAACAGATTCAGCCTGTAAAGCATTTTAAGCTTTATACTCAGTATAAAGTATAGCTGCAACTTAATGGTTTCTGGGTTTAAAATACCAGCACTAATATAACTAGCTTTTATGTTTAATCTTTCATTTATGGTGGAATTACTCTTCAGGTGAAGGATCACCTAAAACAAGTTGAGTTAAGACAGCAAAACTGTCTTCTGAGATTTGTATGGATAACTTTGTCCTAACTTATTTTAGGGGAAATGTTATAAGCCAATAAATATTTATTAAACATTTAATAAAAACTTCTTTTGACAGAAATAAAAATTCTTAGTTTTATCATAAATTGCTATAAAAAAGCAAGAGTAAGATTTAATCGCATAAAAATGCGATTCAGATACTTATTTAAAAGGTAGTAGCACAGCAGAAAATACAGTTAATCCTTTTTCATATTCCTCAAAAAAAAAACAAACCAGTAAACATAAGATGCCTAAATCAACTCTGCTATTGTTTGATGGGGTTGTCACTTAAACCTTGTTATGTCTAGGAGACAAAATTGGTCTTTATCTATTATTTTTTATCTAGAAACATGGATTTTCTACATATCAAAACATCATCTAGACTAGAGAGATTTAAATAAATGACTCCACTCTTTGTGTCCTTTTGAAATAATAATAAAGTCAATGGTTCTCCATTGGGTGAGTATGGACATTTGGCAGGACAATTTTGGTTGTCATTGTGACTAAGAAGTGCTACTAGAACTCAGTGTGTGGCAGTCTATAGTTGGGTATGCAAAACATGCAGCAATGCCAGGATAGTTTCCAACAACAGCGCTGTCTTACCAAAATACTCATGGTACCCCACCGTTGGGCACATCAAGTCTCCTGAATTCAAAAAGCTATGCTACAATTATATTACATTAAAGTAATATTTTAACTGGCACACAATTTAGCAATAGTCTTCTGTCTTTGAATGTACCTATAGAGTATAAAATAAATCAGGTGAACATTTCTTCTGGTAAATACAAAGTAATATTGCCTGTACTTCTTAGGCAGGAGGTAGAGATTATAGTGCTTCCATTCTTTTATTTCTCAATTAGTATTTTATGAAAGAAAATAAAAAGTTCTTCTAGGTGGTGCTATAGCTCAGTGGGTAGGGCACTGGCCACATACACCAAAGCTGGCAGGATTGACCAGCTAAAACAATAATGACAACTGCAACAACAACAACAAAAAATAGCCAACCACTGTGGCAGGTGCCTGGAGTCCCAGCTACCTGGGAGGCTAAGGCAAGAGAATCACTGAAGCCTAAGAGTTTGAGGTTGCTGTGAGCTGTGATGTCACAGCACTCTACACAGGGCAACAGCTTGAGACTTTGTCTCAAAAAAAAAATAAAGTTCTAGATTTCATATTATTCAGTAATATGATCATTAAAAATGTTCAGTATTAATTAATCTAAAAATAAAACCAAAATTACTTGGGACCAAAAAAATGAATCTAGACAAACTAACTCAAATCATTTTATAATAACAAAATAAACTTCTTTTGCCCACATGACAAAAGGTAATAGTTCTTATAATGCTAAAGACCAAATTTATTTTTTAAATCTACTCAATTTACAGACACGTTCTATTGATACATTAATATCAATATAAGCAGTGTAAAATAAACAGTTCAAACAGCCTGGATAAAATGGGCCTACTATCTTGCCTTTCAATTTACTTTGTAAATGAAATCTAAAATAACAAGATCTTATTTTCTTCTGGCCAAGATCACCTAATTCACTGACCAATTCTACTCTTCCATCTTGCATCTTAAGCAATAACACTTCTTTTCCCCAGAGAAAGGGGTCTCACTATGTTGTCCAGGATAGAGAAAAGTGGTTGTTCACAGGTACTGTCGTACTACTGATCAGCATGAGAGTTTTGACCTGCTTTGTATCAGACCTGGACCAGTTCATTTCTCCTTAGGCAACCTCCCCCCTCCTTGGAGGTCACCATGTTGATTCCAAAGTTAGTGTGGACACTAAATGGCCATAGCACACTATAGCCCAGAACTCCTAGACTCAAGTAATTCTCCTGCCTCAGCCTTCATTCACTACCATACTACATCAATACTGCTTTTTGTGTTTGCATTTTTCAAACTGGCATTCCCCACTTTACCTCAAAGCAGCCTTCCATTTGCTATTATCCCAGTCATTATTTTTTAAAAGTTTTATTGAGATATAATCCACATCTCTCAGTTATTATTTTTAAGTCTCTAAATTCCCCTCCTAGATTGATTTAGAATTATATATATGGGTTTTTTTTTAAATATTTGCTAAATTGTTAGGAAAAGTATAGATACGAATGTCTAAGTCTATATCCAAAACCAAAGTAAGATTTCTGAACCAATTCTTATTTAACTTTCACCTTTGGGATGAAGGTGGGATGGCAGTCCCCCTACTGCCTTCAGCATAGCTTACCAGTCCTTTGTCCTGGAGGCACATCATGAGTGTGCACACATCCCCTGTGGCCTGATGATTCACCAACATCACTGCTTCATCTTTTGAAATTGTTTTAATATCTTCCCCCCATTCCATCACTGTAAGAAGAAAAAGTTTCAAGACTTCATTTTAAAGATTTATGTATTACTAGAAAGCTTATAATACAAAAAGTGGTGTACATTTATAACAATACATCATCTAGCTAAAATTTCCAAAAGTTTAGAACTAAATTTATTTTTTATAAAAATCAGAACATTGATATAACATTTTACAGAGCCCCCAAATATCCATTAAAACACAAAATGGTCACATCTAGAAGTTCCATTTCTTAGAATTTATCATATAGAACATTGTTCAAATATGCAAAGACATGTGTATTAAAAAAAGTTTGTTATTACATAAATATTCTCCAATAAGAAAATGAGCATGAAAAACATGACATAAAAGAAGAGTATAAATTCATGAAAAGGATGAAGGGTATCTCTATACACTATCCCCAAAAGACATACTATCAACTAACAAAGCAAACCACAAAATGGTATATACAGCACAATCTCATTTTTTAAAAAGAAGGAATACAACTTATGTGTTATTTAATGCACTGAAAAAGTCTGGGAAAATGAATTTCAGCGGTTAATGCTGACCATCAGTGGGAGGTGACTGAACTCTTCAAATTCTGTTTTCTACAAAAACATCCAAAAATTATAAAAGCATATATTTCACTTTAAGAAAACTAATAAAATGCCAACTTTATTTAAACCACCAGATGAAAAGTCATTGTACCCAAATGTGTGTGTGTGTGTGTGTGTTTGTGTATATATATATATAATAAGGAAAATAGTGCTATTTCTATGTAGTTATGCCTCATTTTATAGTACATATACTTCACAGAAAAAAATACAACTGAGCATAGTTTTCAAACCTCAGGATTCTATAAAGAAGCATCTAGGGTTCCTCAAATGCCTGACTTGAATTACCAAAGGCTGACTCTACACTAGTACTCACTTTAACCTCACCCTCATGTCAAGCTTCCTGTGCATCACAGTTCTGGATGAAATGGGAGTGGGGAGAGCCACTGGCAGCCAATTTTTGCTACATATTTCAAAATTAAGAATGTACAAATCTTTTCATTCAGTAATTCTACTTCTAGGAATTCCTCCTACAGATGTGCAAAATGAGGCACATACAAGGCTATTTACTGCAACACTATTTGTAAAAGCAAAAAATGAAACAACTAGAAAGAGAGACTAGCTTGAATTCGTAGAAACAAAAAGTAGATTGGTGGGTGCCAGGGGCTAGGGGTAGGGGGAATTTTTGTTTAAAAAGTACAGAGTTTCAGTTTTGCAAGATGGAAAAAATTTTGACATTGGTTGCATAACAATGTGAATATACTTAACAATTAAACTAAACTAACTGCCAGATGTGGGGGCTCATGCCTATAATCCCAGCATTGTGGGACACTTTGGCAGGAGGACTACTTGAGCTGGTAATTCAAGACTAGCCTCAGCAACATAATGAGACCGTGGCTATACAAAAAAATAAGAAAAAAATTAGCCAGGCATAGTAGTATGTGTCTAACTACTCAGTAGGCTGAGGTGGGAGGAACGCTTGAGCAGTGAGATATGATTTGCATCAGTGTATTCCAGGCTGGGTGACAGAGCAAGCCCCTGTCTAAAAAAAGGAAAAAAGGTTAAGATGGTAAATTTTATGTTAGTGTACTTTACTACAATTAAAAATTTTTAAAAGGAGACTAGCTAAATAAATTATAATATATCCATTCACTGGACTATTATGTAATTAAAGCACTTATCTACTAATATGGAATGATATACATAAGAAATTTAGAGTATAGAATAGGGTGAAGGATGCCACTAGTTGTGTTTTTAAGAATGGAGAATATGGCTCGGCACCTGTGGCTCAAGTGGCTAGGGTACCAGCCACATACACCTAAGGTGGTGGGTTCGAATCCAGCCTAGGCCCATCGAACAACAATGATGGCTGCAACCAAAAAATAGCCGGGC